CCCCCCCCCCCCCAGTATTGTTCTTGCCATTTTTTTCCTGAATCACTGGCTTGGGATTTGTACCATGAGGGAAGGTTTTGATTTGTGAAGAAGACAGCAGATCATAACTGAAGATGCCCAGAGATTTCTGAGTTAAGAAAGTAATTTGCATAATCAAATTGAAATATTTGTATTCGAAAGGCCATAATGGAAACCCTATTCAAATTGAAGATGAACACCCCTACTGGTAATTAATATATTGATTGTTCTTGAGAATATAGTCGTAATATAATTCTGTTCTCAGCAGGGTCAGTTATTGAGTGAGAAGCTGTTTTATTCTGGAGAGAAAGGAGATGTGAACAGATGTTGGGAATTAATAAGAAATGGGGCAGATGTCAACTGGAGAGCAGGCAGTGATTTAGTAAGCTGATATATTTAAATTTTTAATTATCTCTGTCTGACTTTAGAATCATTAATTATCACTTTTTATGATATGGAGACAAGTATTTTACTGGAAAATATACTTTCTACTCACAAAAATTCATACAAAACTACATCCGGAACCTGAATGGTGTATTTCCATATCCTTGCTAGTAGGGACATTGATGACATCATTTCCCGCTTTTTCACACTCAGTTGTTTGTGCTAAAAGACAGTAATTGTCTGTGTAATAAAAAGAAAATTATGTGGTGGCTGAAGATATGAATTTTATTTTCTCATATTTAAACAATGTTTTACTCACTCGTTGTGCCTTTTTGTAAAATAAAATTCATATCCTCACACCTCCCTAAGATATCCTCCATGACTATATCTTATTATGTATATAGAAAATACACCACTTGTAAAATTCATACAAAACCACATCTGGGACTCAAGTGGCGTGTTTTCCATATCCTCACTAGTGAAGATGTCGATGATTTCACTGATATCAAGTTTGTCTCTTAAATGATGTACTTAATTTGGTGTATGATCAAAAAATCTTTGGGTCTTCCGTGAAAGTCTTTGGCAATCTTTGGCAGTCTTCGGCAATCTTCGGAAATCTTCATTAATCTTTGGAATAATAGAAAGAACGTTACATGTTAGCTCGAAGATATGAACTTTATGTTCCTGTGGCAAGAACAATATCTCACTTGTTCACTGCACTCACTTATGAGATATTGTACATGTTCTTGCCACTCGAACATAAAATTCATATCTTCTTGCCACCGTGTAATATCCTCTGTATATTTCTGATAACTAGCTTGTTGACTATGGAAACAAGATGTAATTTTTTTGCTGTTGTTGTAGACCCACGAAATAAATTAATATGACTTGTGATAATGCTAAAAAGTGTTCTCAGTAGAGGGGCAGGGAGGAGCGGGGGGAGGGGGGGAGAGAGAAAAAGTCTTTTGAGTGCTTCATGATGTATACAATGTCACTGGTAGACAAGACTTAATCCAACTTTGCATTCTTTTTTATTTTTAGTGGTTCAGGACTCCACTGATGCAAGCAGCAAAGAGTGGAATGACTGATGTATGCAAGTTGTATATAGAACATGGTGCTGACGTTGATGTCTGCACAGTGGTAGGTGGTTGTTGCTTTTTGGGGGTGGGGGGCTGGGCAGCCATGCAGGAGGAGGTGGGGATAGTAGGAGGAAGAAGACAGAGTCTTGAGCAAATTGGTCATGATCGATACAATGATCAAATGGTAATTGATCCTGGAAGTTTATTCTAACAGATTGCAGTCAAACCTCTGGTTCTGACCACTTCTCATAAGTGACTACCTCTCCTCAGCAACCAGTTTTCCTGAATACCGAAAGTTTTCAAGTCAAATTACGTTAATATTAATGAAACCTCTTGTAAGCGACAATTTCTCGTAAGCAACTGCAACCACTTTTAGAGCTAAAAGTTTGAAATTGTTTGTTTTTAACCTCTCATAAGTGAGCACTTGGCAGATAAGTAAACAGAGCAGAATGAACTTGTGGTGTAATTATTTAATATGTTTTAGATATACATTCCTTAATAACAATAGTTTAAAAGCATGTAAAAAATGTTATTGTTTTCCTTTAACTTATAACTTTCAAGTCAAGTCCGTAAACTCTACAAAACACTTGACCGTAAAAACCTTGCACACTCAGCCTCCGGCTTCGCTTTGTGTGGCACAATGATCCGTCTAGAATTAAAGACAATCAAAGGAAAATTTTGTGTAGAAACTTTGAAAAAAGTGAATGAGAATGAGAAAAAATGGCTTCAAGAAAGGTCTTCCGGCACTTCCTCCACGCAAAGTTTTTCATGTTTATATTATTAATAAGTAATCATACGGTTTTCTTGTTCAATTTGGAATTTAAATTTGCACTTGTGAGTTTTTCAAAAAGCTGAAACTGCACTTGCCAAAGCGGCTCATGCAATTTCAGTTTCTTGAAAAACTCGCTCATGCAAATTAATTCCAAATTCAACTCGAAACCATATGATTACCTGTACAAACAATTATTTTTTAAATGTGTGCCAATTCCTGTAAGCAGTTATAAAATAGATTGACCCACCCTTCGTGGGTAGCTAAAAATGGAACAACCCACCTAATACCAGGGGCTCAAAAACTGATGACCCACCCTCTTACCGCTCCGACCCACCCCTCCAGTACTTTTTGACTGGTCCCCAAGAACACGGATGCTAAATAATTGAATAGTTAATTATTACAAGGTGTTCATTAATAGATTTTTCTATGCTTGCTGTGTAATGATAATTAATTATCTTTCATTTTCAGAGTAAGTACACAGCATTAATATTAGGAGCACGATATGGCAAGACTGAAGTATGTCAACTGCTGTTATCCAAAGGGGCTAATGTCAATAGTCAAACAAAGGTAAGTAAATGGCTAGACTAACATTTTTTGTTCTAATGAAATGTTGTAAGTAACTTAAAGATTCTGTATTCTTGTTGTTAGCAATAAGTTTTTTTTCAGTTTTTTTTTTCTTGTCAATGTTTACTTAGTAACTAGTATGATTTTTTTCCTTGCTGGTGGTAACTTTTTTGTTCAGGAGAAAACCTTCCAAGAATCCTTGTGGATCTTCTTTGGGATGTTATCAAGAATTTTCAGTGGGGTGGGGAAGGGCAAGAGCAAGGGGATTTTAAACCAAGATCCTTTTGTTTGTGGTGGAGTATGGATGATTCAGTCCAAAACAATACAGTGTGAAGAATTAATTGTCACTTTAGAAATTTGTTTTGTCACAGGAAGGTGAGACTGCGTTGATGTGGGCAGCCCATAATGGTCACTGTGAAACCTGCAAGTTGCTCTTGGAGTCTGGAGCCAAAATTGACCTCCAGGATGTTGTGAGTACATGGCATCAACACCAGCCATGCATCACCTCATCTGTGTATCCAACCCCTACAAGTGATTTAAATTATAATTCTCTGGGAATGGAAGTAAATTAAGGCCAATATATGATTAGTCAATTTTATTGAGTGACATTATTCTTTTTAAAATATTACTTGCTATAAAATTATCCTTGATCAATACACTGACAGGCATTCTATAGATACAGGAGCTTGCATTCATTTACCTGAATTGAGTGAAATATTACAGCCATTTCTATTCTTTGATTTATGATTAACTGTTAACAATCAAGAAGTGTAAGCTTTCTATAATTGTTTTGTTGGTGTTAGTTCATACTGCAATTAGTGTTGTACTTGAGTTATTTTCTGCAGTGTTAAGTGCTTTGTTTAAAAAAAGTCTAGAAAATCACGTATTTAATATCAGTTTGGTGATTGCATGGAAATTTGGGCCATCAGTCCTGGGCAGGTTATTATTATTGTAATAAATAAAATTTAAAGCTATGTTGACCAGTGTTGCAGCTGCTAGTGGATGATGTTTTTTGTTGTTGTGAATATTTGATTCCCAACGGTAACCCCATCTTACATCCCAATTAATGTCTCATGCAGAATTTTGATCATTTTCAAACTGTAGTATGGCTTCACAGCACTGATTCATGCTGCTAGAGATGGTCATATGGACACTTGCATTGTTCTTTTGGACTTTGGAGTAGATGTGAATGCTGTATCCAAGCTTGGGAACACGGTATTACTAACAGTACTTTTGATATGAAACCTGAGTTAGTGGCCACTTTGGGATACTGAAGCCCTTACCAGGCAGTGTACTTAAGATCACAATAAACTTGATTTCGCAACCCCGTTCTAGACTTGGTGTTAAAAACGCCTAATGTAATCACCCAATCTGCCCATTATCCCTTCCCCCTATTTTCCATAAAGAAACTTTTTCACTGTTAATAGAAGTCCAACATAAGCTAACCAAACAAGTATCTAACTAGTCACTTGACTTCTGAGTTTCAATTTCAGAATAGAGCCCTGGGTAAAGAACCCTGTTCTAGAATTGTTTATGTACTGGCCACTTTATTGGTACATTATACCCTATTCGAGACCAAAACTGTCTGATTTCTATACCCTATCCCAGACTAAACTGCCTGAAAACCCCTTCACAGGAGCACATGCCCATATAGTTTGTATATTGGATTACCCTTCCCCCCCCCCCCCCCCCCCCCCCCCC